AATAATGAAGAGTTGACCATATAAATACTGAATCACATACTTGGAAATAGGCATAGGGTGCATCTACACAGAAACCAAAACTCGAAATAAGCTATACGATTTGTGCTATGCAAGTTGCGTAGCTTATTTTGAGTTTATTTTGAAATAGCATATTTTGTCATTTGGAGCAGTCTACACAGCACCAAATTCTGAAATAAAGTGTTATTTGAGCCATCCCTTACTCCTAGTAGAATGAGGTTTACAGGGATGGTGAAATAGTGCATCCACTGCATTTCGAAGTAGCAGATGTGTTCAAAAGATGCGGGGTAGCTATTTTGGGATCCTTCTGGTATCCTGAAATAACTTGGCTGTGTAGACATACATAGAGAGAGTACAAGGACATGCATGCTGTCAGCAGTTAAACTGTTCTTTCTTGTTCTGTGCCCCTTTTGATACACTGTTCACATCTAAAGTAGGCCAGGGCAATTACCAAGGAATTTGTCCTTTGGCCCACCTGTGAAATCAGCAGTCCTGTGGCTAACTGCTGCCTGTATTGCTGCTGGAAGTGTTTTCCTGCTTAACTCATACCTACTGAATACATATGTTTAGCTGGCCTGTGTACTGGTTCCATAAACTCTGAACTGTTTGCATAACATAGCTTTTTCTTAGATATTTCAGAGCCCCGAGGAAAGGTATCACTAGACAGTGTCCGAATCAGCTAGATTCACAAAAATACATAGGAATTGCAATGCTGAATCCCTAGGCCAGTAGCATTCTGAGCTCTGAGCTAGACACCAAGGCTTCCATAATATGCTCTGGGAGGGTTAGACCTTAGGGGCAAGACTGACATGACCATGATAGGCACCTCCCTTGGCCTACAATTTGCATACTTGACCCCTTTTCCTAGGTCAGTCCTTTCTCCCAAAAGGCATAGAGAGAATCCCAAAGTTCCAATGACATAGTGATCAGGGGATTCATCTAGGATGAGGAACACCCAGATAAAAAAGCCCTGCTCTGCCTGACTTGGAGCAGGGACTTGAACCCAGTGTTGTCCCAGCCCCACTGAGTGCTCTGAACACCAGGCTATTGTCTATTCTAGGATTTCCCCAAGCTTTCCTATTGGAGCTGTTTTACTTTGTATTCAATAGCTGAGGGTATGTCTACACTACAAAGTTAATTCGAACTAACAGACGTTAGTTTGAATTAACTTGATAGGCGCTACACAGGCAAACCATTAGTTCAAACTTAATTCGAACTAGCAGAGCGCTTAATTCGAACTAGGTAAACCTCATTCTACGAGGACTAAAATCTAGTTCGAATAAAGTAGTTCAAATTAAGGGCTGTGTAGCCCCTTAATTCGAACTAGTGGGAGGCTAGCCCTCCCCAGCTTTCCCTGGTGGCCACTCTGGGCACCACCAGGGAAACTCGTCTGCCCCCCTCCCGGCCCCGGAGCCCTTAAAGGGGCACGGTCTGGCTACGGTGCCTGTGCCAGGTGCAAGTCTGCCAGCACCCAGCCAGCAGACCCTGCACCTGGCACGGCACAAACCAGCCACCCACTGCCACCCAGCCCTCCGCCTCTTCCCGGGACCAGGCTGGTGGCTCCCCGGCGCCTGCCAGGTCCGCCAGAGG